ATGCTGCGAAATCTCCCTTCCCTCTCCCCCTGATGGGAGAAGCCCCTTCCTCCTTCCTTCTCTGTCTCTTAGGCTTAGGGGAAGGTTAACCCACTGTAATATCTCCATTCCCACCCCATTCCAGGGGAAGGATGCTGCGAAATCTCCCTTCCCTCTCCCCCTGATGGGTGAAGCCCCTTCCCCCTTCCTTCCCTGTCTCGTATGGGAAGGTTAACCCACTGTAATATCTCCATTCCCACCCCATTCCAGGGGAAGGATGCTGCGAAATCTCCCTTTCCTCTCCCCCTAATGGGAGAAGCCTCTTCCCCCTTCCTTCTCTGTCTCTTAGGGGAAGGTTAACCCTCTGTAAAATCTCCATTCCCACCCCCTTCCAAGGGAAGGATGCTGCGAAATCTCCCTTCCCTCTCCCCCTGATGGGTGAAGCCCCTTCCCCCTTCCTTCTCTGTCTCTTAGGGGAAGGTTAACCCACTGTAAAATCTCCATTCCCACCCCATTCCAGGGGAAGGATGCTGCGAAATCTCCCTTCCCTCTCCCCCTGATGGGTGAAGCCCCTTCCCCCTTCCTTCTCTGTCTCTTAGGGGAAGGTTAACCCACTGTAAAATCTCCATTCCCACCCCACTCCAGGGGAAGGATGCTGCGAAATCTCCCTTTCCTCTCCCCCTGATGGGTGAAGCCCCTTCCCCCTTCCTTCTCTGTCTCTTAGGGGAAGTTTAACCCACTGTAAAATCTCCATTCCCACCCCATTCCAGGGGAAGGATGCTGCGAAATCTCCCTTTCCTGTCCCCCTGATGGGTGAAGCCCCTTCCCCCTTCCTTCTCTCTCTCTTATGGGGAGGTTAACCCACTGTAAAATCTCCATTCCCACCCCACTTCATTCTCTCTCTCTCTCTCTCTTTCCTCTCGTATCCAGAGCTTCCTGGATCATTTGAAGGTTTTCCGGGGCATCGCTCGGCATTACGGAATGGCCCACTTGCTGGAGAACGTCCAGTGGCTGCTTCAAATGAACCCCCAGCTTCTCTCCTGAGATGAAACCCCCCCACCAACCCCTTCATCCTTTCCTGGCAGAAGCGACGCCCAAGAAGGCGGGCAGGTCGCCTTCTGCTCGGCCGTGCGGTGAAGTCTTTTAAGGAGAGAAACGCTTGTGTGGGGCGGCTGGCAAGGGGGACTCTTCGCCCCCGGGGGCAGGGGAAGCAAATGTTGCAAGCCTTAAGGTTGTCCTGCTTGCGCGGAAGCTTCAACTAAAGTCTTGCAAAGAAGAAGAAGAGATAACGGTGTCTCCGTCCGAACGAGGCGGATCCGTGTCATGAAACTCAGCGCGAAAATGCAAGGAGCTTTTTCGGGGTGCCCCTTGTCCCCAATTTTGCACACCCAGAAAGAAAAAAAACTTGGGATTATGCGGAGCATTTTTTCTGCCCAGATTTTATGCTTTTTCTTTTGACTTTGGTGTTTTTAGAAAAAAGGTTTTTTTAAAAAAACGATATAAAGAATTCCTTTGCTTTCGAACCAGCTTTCGCCCCTATATTTAATAAATAAAATTGATGCCGCCTGCATCCAAACAAACGAAGCAGAGAGTGTGCCATTAAAGAAACAGCCTGAGGCTTCAACATAGAATTGACAGCTTTGGAAGGGACCTCGGAGGTCTTCTAGTCCAACCCCCTGCTCGAGCAAGAGACCCTTATAACCATTTGGGGGCAAAGGGGCGACCTCCATTGAGGGAGCACCCACAGCCTCCAGAGGTAAGCTGTTCCACTAATTAGTTTTTCACCCCGTCAGGAAATTTTTCCTTAATTCTAGGTTGAATGGCCAACGTCTTGCCAGCTGCTAAGACGTGCTTGGTGTGATGGCCTGGGGCGTCCTTAAAATGCAGTATTGTACGCTCTGCCCACAGTCAGGAAGTTCGATCCTGACCAGCTCAAGGTTGACTCAGCCTTCCGTCCTTATGAGGTCAGTAACATGAGGACCTAGACTGTTGGGGGGCAAAAGGCCGACTCCGTAAACTGCTTAGAGAGGACTGTAAAAGCACTACAAAGCAGTATATAAGTCCAAGGGCTGTCACTTCCTTCCTCCCTTCCCTCCATCCCTTCCTTTCTCTCTCTCCCTTTTCTCTTCCTTCCTGCCATGATGGTGCAGTGGTTAGAATGCAGCATTGCAAGCTAACTCTGCTCACATTGCCAACAGTTCGATCCTGACCAGCTCAAGGTTGACTCATCCTTCTATCCTTCCGAGTTGGGTAAAATGAGGACCCAGATGGTTGGGGGCAAAAGGCTGACTGTGTAAACCGCTTAAAGAATTGTAAAGCGGTATATAAGTTTATTGGTATTCTTTCCTTCCTTCCTTCTTTCCTTCCTTCCTTCCTTCCTTCCTTGGGGCACAGTGGTTAGAATGCAGTATTGAAAACTAACTCTGCTCAAAAGTTGACTCAGCCTTTCGTCCTTCCGAGGTGGGTAAAATGAGGACCCAGATGGTTGGGGGCAAAAGGCTGACTGTGTAAACCGCTTAAAGAATTGTAAAGCGGTATATAAGTTTATTGGTATTCTTTCCTTCCTTCCTTCTTTCCTTCCTTGGGGCACAGTGGTTAGAATGCAGTATTGAAAACTAACTCTGCTCAAAAGTTGACTCAGCCTTTCGTCCTTCCGAGGTGGGTAAAATGAGGACCCAGATTGTTGGGGGCAAGAGGCTGACTCTGTAAACCGCTTAGAGAGGGCTGTAAAAGCACTATAAAGCAGTATATAAGTCTAAAGGCTATTGCGATTGCTTCCTTCCCTCCCTCCCTCCCTCCCTCCCTCCTTCCTTCAGTTTGACTCAGCCTTCTGTCCTTCCGAGGTTGCTGAAATGAGGACCCAGATTGTTGGGGGCAAGAGGCTGACTCTGTAAACCGCTTAGAGAGGGCTGTAAAAGCACCAAGAAGCGAGCTATAAGTCCAAGGGCTGTTGCTTCCTTCCTTCCCTCCCTCCCTCCCTCCCTCCTTCCTTCAGTTTGACTCAGCCTTCTGTCCTTCCGAGGTTGCTGAAATGAGGACCCAGATTGTTGGGGGCAAGAGGCTGACTCTGTAAACCGCTTAGAGAGGGCTGTAAAAGCACCAAGAAGCGAGCTATAAGTCCAAGGGCTGTTGCTTCCTTCCTTCCCTCCCTCCCTCCCTTCCTTTCTCTCTCTCCCTTTTCTCTTCCCTCCCTTTCCTTCCTTCCTGCCATGGTGGTGCAGTGCTTAGAATGCAGCACCGCAAGTTAACTCTGCTCACATTGCCAGCAGTTCGATCCTGACTGCCCTCAAGGTCGACTCGTCCTTCCGAGGTGGGTCAAATGAGGACCCAGATTGTTGGGGTTTGCAAGAGGCCGGCTCTGTAAAACTGCTCAGAGAGGGCTGTGGAAACCCCGTAAAGCGGTATATAAGTCTTAAGTGCTATTGCGATAAAACGAATGGAAGCAATCGTGTTTGTTTTTTTGTCCCTGCTACGCTCAGTTTCAGGGTGTCTTTTCCTGCGTGTCGCTCACAGACGGAGCGAATCCCTTTGGTCTGCAAAACACACACAACTCTCATGGTTGCGGTATCCGTTCCCTGCAAAGTGCCATCCGTTGGCGTCGGCTGGCGCTTCGCCATTGGGACGAGGGCCAACCCCAATCAGTCTGGCTCCGCAGTGCCTTCCTCCCCTCCTCTCCCCATATTTGGGGGGGGGGGGACGTCGACCCTTTTTGGAACAACAGATAAAGGCAATGCTCAAGTCTTGGCGTTTCCCTGAAGCTGTCTGTTCCCCCTGCAGCTAATTAGATTGCGTAAATGGCCTGATTCAATTAGGTTCTTGCTTGCTCGGCCCGCTGTGCTTTTCCACTCCGGAAAGGCGATCAGAAGAAGAGGGAGCTTTTGATTCCGAAGGAGAATAAAACTTGCCATTTATTTATTTTTTCAGCGTTTCTGGGTTCTTTTATTTAGCGGAGGCCGTATCCTTGAAGGTTAACTATAGCAATAGCAGTTAGACTTATATACCGCTTCATAGGGCTTTCAGCCCTCTCTAAGCGGTTTTACAGAGTCAGCATATCNGGACAGCGCTGGCTCTTCGGCTTTGAAACGGAGATGAGCACCGCCCCCTAGAGTCAGGAACGACTGGCACATATGTGCGAGGGGAACTTTTACCTTTACCTTTAAACAGTTAATATAAGTTCACTTGGTATTCTATGACCTGCTGTGATTTTGGGAGTCCTTGCCCATACAAGTTAGGTGCCTCTTGCTGTCTCTATGTATTGGGTTTCGTTTCCAAAAAAATGAACGTAACTAATATTTTCCAACCTTCATGAGATCTGGAAGCAGGGACTTCCCAACCCCCGAATTTCCCAGCCGCCATGACCCTTGGTAAGAATTTTGGGAGCCCGTCTATTTCCGCGAGTTGGAGAACGCTCCTGTAAATCTATCCAGATTCTTCTAGATTTATTCTTTCGGCCTACCCATTTGTCGGTGAATGACAATCTCCCGCCTTCTCCACCTCCTGCGGGCCATACATTTCAGCTTAGCTGATTTGTTTGTTTTTCTCCCAGGGAGGCTTTAGGCCAAAAACGCCTTTTCAAGACCTGTTAAGTCTTGCTGAAAGGACAGTGGAGCTGGGCTTGCACAACACACCATTTGCAACGCACAATATACTTGCGGAAAAATCTGCCTCCATGATTAATTTTGGGCTCGGCGTGCCGCACCAAAGCGGGACTGAATTGCATAACCTAGGTTAAAGGTATGGTGGAAATGCAAAGACTGAGCAAAGCGCCTGTTTTTTTTCCCTCTCCTGGGCTAGGTGTAAGAAGTACGGCATGATGCCCCTGGCTCACTTGGTGGAGCCAAGCCCGTATCAGCCCATCGAGATCCCCGAGGCCACCACATTTCCTCTCCAGCCGAGACAGCATCGCAAACCCGGCTTGAAAGGCAGAAAAACGCGGAGAAAGAAGGTGAAGAAACCGAGCACCGAGACGCAGGATACCGTCATCCCACTCGCCTCGATCTCCAAGACGAATGAAGCCACTAACCTCCCGGGAAGAAGCTCCGCGGGTGAGGAGACAACTGCCCTTCAAACAACGTTGAACCCTGGTCCCATCAAGAGGGAGGGCGAGATTCTCACCGCGCGTCACCCGGTCGTCCTTACTGTGGAAGAAGCCTTCTCCAACGAGACATGGCAGGGAGAAAGGCCGATCTCTGGCCCTTCTGCAGGACACAGCCAGGTCTCCAAGCCAAGACCAGGTGAGGCCAGCAGGAGCCCGAATGTCCCTTCTTGGGGCCATTTAAATGTGGGAGGATTTATGAAGGAGCAGGTAAAATATTAGGGATGCAATGGCTCAGTGGCTAAGATGCTGAGCTTATCAATCAGAAAGGTCGGCAGTTGGGCAGTTCGAATCCCTAGTGCCGTGTAACGGAGGGAGCTCCCGTGACTTGTCCCAGCTTCTGCCCACCTAGCAGTTCTAAAGGATGTAAAAAATGCAAGTAGAAAAATAGGAACCACCTTTGGTGGGAAGGGAACAGTGTTCCGTGCGCTTTCGGGAGTTGAGTCATGCCGGCCACACGACCACGGAGACGTCTTCAGACAGCCCTGGCTCTTCGGCTTTGATTCCCCAACTGAACCGGGCCCATTTTTGTCTCTCCAGGCCTGTCGCAGAGATGCCGCTGCTACCAACGGCTGGACCACTGCCCCTTCCAGATTGGCCCCAATGAGTTTAAGTACCAGCTCCACAATTCAGATGATCGCACTCTTTACCACTGTAACTGCACCCGTCGGTAAGCGTTATCCGTCTGTCCCCCCACCCTTCTAGAGGTTGTGGGTGCTCTTATCACTGGAGGTTTCTTAGAAGAGACTGGACCGCCCTTTGTCTGGAATGGTGTAAGGTCTCCTGCTTGAGCAGGGGGTTGGACTAGATGACCTCTGAGGTCCCTTCCAACTCTGTTATTCTAAAATGTTATAGGTAGGGTCTCCTGGCTGAGCAGGGGGTTGGACTAGATGACCTCAGAGGTCCCTTCCAACTCTGTTATTCTAAAATGTTATAGGCAGGGTCTCCTGGCTGAGCAGGGGGTTGGACTAGATGACCTCCAAAGTCCCTTCCAACTCCTGTTATTTCGAGGAGCAACAGGTCCATTTCGATTTAAAGACCTGCATGAGAAGTGAATCCCACCCCACCTCTTTCCCCCCACCCCAAAAGCATCAGGCTGCTATTTGCCCCCCCCCCCACTCTGCACGGAAAATGGAGACGCTGGTTTGAACATCTTACACTTTGTCCCAAATTCCCACCGATGAAGTGGGCTTGTTGGAATACCGGCTGTGAGTTTCCCAGCTCCGTTTGAAGCGCCGTGTGCCACGCCAACATGGGAGTTGTAGTCCTGGCAATTTATAAGGGGAGGGGGGGGTGAGGAAGGGTGACCCCAGTCTAGGGGGAGGTTGGTAGGGGGGGGTCTTTTGGATCTGGATTTTTTTCTCAGCCTGCAGTGCTTTGAGTGAATCGGCTCGATCACTGGTAGTCAACCTGGTCCCTACTGCCCACTAGTGGGCGTTCCAGCTTTCATG